TAGCATTGCACCATAGAGTTCATGCACAACTTTGTGTCAAAGTTGTTTTCTTCCGGGAAACTCTTTCCCACGACTTTAGCATGGCACCTTTTGCCATCAATGAGATACATACTGCTCTCATGCTTGGATCTCAAGATCCTCCCCATCCTTCGTGGGGCACCACACACCTCAGTCCAAATGCTTTCCTCAGGCCCTTAGGATTATTCTTTGACTCTATTGGAGTCATTCGATCTTTTGGACTTTGTTAATCCAACAACCTAGGAGGTCCTACTTTTGAGGTGCTAACTCACTGGAATACAACTCCTTGTATTCATGTCCTACTCACAAAGACCATCTTTTGCAAATGTTACTCCGACACTTGATTTGTTCTCTAGGGGCAACCTTTCGCCCCTTAGGACCACTTGTCCATGTGATGAGAATACCAACTCATCCTCTAAATACACCCCCAACTCTTTGGGTTGTTCCAGCATTTATTAGAGGTAGCTCCGGCTACTATTTCAAGGACTTGTGTCCTTTTCTGTATTTGACCTCCCACAGTTATTACTTCTGGTCTCAAATTCGTCAGCACCAACCTCAACTTCATGAGGGTAATTTTGTGACTCTTTTATTGTTTTGGAGTCTCTATCTTCCTTGTGATCCCAACTATAGTTGTTTATCACAACTACATTAGCCAGTTTGCTGAGTCAAACGCTCATCTGGATCACATCCTCAACTCAATGAGGAAAACCTTGCACTGTTCCCAAGATCCCAAAGTCGTTTCATCATTGGCCCTTTTCTATCAACCACCTTGCCTACAAGTTCACACGTGAACTATAGTGGAGAGCCATGTTTTCCCGACTTGCTACTCCTCAAGGACAAGCCCACTCCTAGGACCTTTCGATGCCAACACTAGTGGTGATATACTTCAGCACCAATAAAAGTCGGACTAAGGAATAGCTCCGATACCAAATTGTAAGCAACTAAATTTTTCCATTCTACTTTAATCACTTAACCACACCTTTGACCATTTAGAGGAGTCTCACTCACAACCTCCATAAGTCTTATTTTGGACTTGGGCTTGCTAGCCCCGAGAATGGCATCCCCGCCACTCAACCTTTGCACTTGGTCCAAGTGCTCCACGTGTCCGATCCCAAGACTGACACCCAAAGGTACCACTGATATATTGGCCCGTTACACTAAGGCTATGCCCATTCACCTTTGCCGCACTGGTGGTCCAATACCACTTGCATCACAATCCCGTCTCTCCAAGACTGGGCTGTCCGTCCACGAATGGTCATCCCAAATCCACTCCTTAGCATCCTTAGGATGCCCATAAACATAAGGAATAGCCTTCCCCAACATCCCTTTATCAGTTCCTGCCAAGTCCCTTTTCCGTCCATGGCCATGTTCACCAACACTGCCATTAGATCAAGGCCCGCAGGCCCGGCCATTAAATCCCATTGTCCTCTGGGACTTCCTCACCATGTGACTGTATCTGTAGTCACTACACTAGAGGACTGCTCCTCCTCCTTTTCCCCATTTGGGACTTCGGGACAACATTTCGAAACACTGTGGCCCTACGCGAGCCCCGTGGGTACTCTCCCCACCTTCCGCCTTTAGGTGCTTTAGCCATGGGCTTAGAGCGAGGTTCCGTTGAGCCACACCAGGTATCCAAGTAGGTAGTGCCACCCACACTTGGACTGGGAGTATCGGCCAATCGATCTCCCAGGGGAACTAGAGCCGGCTCTTGAACACTTCACCAAGCTACCCTGCTTGTCGGTCCGTATTCACTCTAGTATTGGACTTCCCAGTGGTCAGTTCATCACCCAACACTGGGTCTGGCCTTCCTGGGCCAAACTGGCCTTTCCTGGCCAAACTGGCTCCACTGCAGTCCTCCCCCCTTACTATACTTTTGGAGCTCACCAAACTCCTCAGGATTTGGGAGACGAACGCTTTGGACTTCGAAAATGGAGGTAGTGATCCTATGTTGCTTGGTGCAATAGTCAACAGATAGGAGCAAAAAGCTAGTGGCTAAGAAAGAGTCATAGGAATCATGGGAAAGAATCCAAATGACAAAATTAGGCTAGAAACACTAATGTGTTGGATGTTAACAGATATTGAGAAAGGCAATGTGTTTCCAAAGATGGATTCCCAACTACTCTGATTTGGCAAAAGTGGAAGCTCCAAAGGAGGGAGCAGTAAAGTAGCCAAATGATGGGGCCATGGATAGCCCTAACACAAATTATAATAACTGGAACTTAGTGCCAAAGGTGGCAGAAAATAGAAAAGAGGATGATGGTGTCCTCAAATAAAGAACTTCCTAGGATAGGGAAGTGAAGTTTGCACAATATGTGCAATGCAAAGTGTTGGAGACATCTAGGGAATTGACTTCAAGAAGTCAAATTTAAAAGTTTCAAACTGGAAAAAGTTATATCGATGGAAACTAAAACTTCTTGAGAATGAATAGTGGGATGAGATAGAGAGTGTCACTAACAGGTTTAATGAGAACTAAACTAATAAAAGGAAAGAACCACCACAAGTGGTCGAATGAATCTCTAAGTTGGAGAGACTATGCTCCCTAGAGGATAGACAAAGCATGGTGAGCCTTCGGTGTCAAACCATTGACAAATATTGGCTAAGTGCCAAGGATGGAAAGGGTAATACATGCTAGTATTACTTTATAAAATAGTTTATCGTTCGATGAGGACATCAAACTTCGTTTATGGGTGGTGGAGTGGTAAGACATAAATCCCTAAGCCCTAAAGTGGAGCCAAAAGGGTGCCACGTGGTAGTGGCTAAGGTGGAAGCCAAATGAATGTAACATATTTGGACTAAAACGCTCCAACTCGAAAAGGTTGAGAGCGGGAGTGGAACCCTCAACAAGGTGCTCAAGGACCAAGTTTGAAGTGAGAAATAAGTGAGTTTAGAAAAGGGGACACAAGAGGACTAACATATGATATATAGAAAAGTCCGAGATGGACCCAAGATGAAATCCGAGATAGACCCGAGATGGAGTCTGAGATGGAACCGAGACCAAGACAGAGTCCAAGTCCGAAACTAAGACTGAGACCGAGTCTAAGTCCGAGTCCAAGTCTAAGTCTGAATACTAATACAAGCTGTTGGGTGAAAGCTTAAAGCAATTATCCCCCAGGGGGGGCTACAGAGGTGCAGAGGGTTCCAAAAGTATAGTAGGGAGAGTGTGGGGGTTGGACCCTAGTAGAGCTAGTTTGGCCAGGAAAGGCTAGTTTGGCCCAAGAAGGTTGTACCCAGGTGTTGGGTGATGAGATAACCATTAGGAAGTTCAAAGTTAGAATAAATATGGACCGACAAGCAGGGTAGTTTGGTAAAGTGTTCAAGAGCCAGCTTTAATTCCCCCGGGAGATCGAATAGTCAATGCTCCCAGTCCAAGCATAAGTGGCACTACCTATTTAGATACCTGGCGTGGCTCAACGAAACTTCACTCTAAGCCCATATCTAGAGCACCCAAAGGCAAAAGGCAAGGAGAGTACCCATAAAGCTTGCATAGAGTCACAATGTTTTAAAATGTTGTCCCAGAGTCCCAAATAGTGGAAAAGAAAAGGAACAATCCTTTGGTGTAGTGAGCAAGGATGCGGTCACATGATAAGGAAGTCCTAGAGAACAAAGGGACTTGGTCAAGCCTGTGGGCCTTGATTCAATAGTAGTGTTGGCAAACACGGCCATGGATAAAAAGGGACTTAGTGGGGACTAAAAGAAGGATATTAGGGAAAGCTATTCCCCATGTCTACAGACATTCTAAGGATGTTAAGAAGTGGATCTGGGATGACCACTCATGAACAAATGACCTAATCTTTGAGAGATAAGACTGTGATGTAGTTGATGTTGGATCACCAGTGTGACAAAGGTGAATAGACATGGCCTTAGCGTAACAGGCTGATATATCAGTAGTACTTTTGGGTGTCGGTCATAGGACCAGACATGTAGAGCACTTGGAATAAGTGCAAAGGTTAAGTGGCATGGATGCCATTCTTGGGGCTAGCAAACCCTAAGTCTTGAATTGGACTTCTGAAGGTTGTGAATGAAACTCCTCTAAGTGGTTAAAGGTGTGGTTAAGTGACTAAAGTAGAATGGAAAAATTAGTCGCTTACACATATTTAACTCTGCATGAAGCAAGAAGTTATGGAAACAAATGCCATATTGCATCATTGATTCAAATGGCTCTTTGACGAAAACGATGCAATTGTTAGAAAGTATCATCACAATCATCGACATGTCTAAATGTTCGTTTGAAAACATCTGAGAGAATGCTCCAATCCGCACGAGTGGTTGCACTCAAGCCATTGTATCATTGAAGTGTTGTCCCTTGGAAACATGTGGGAAATTCATGTAAACGCTAAGCATTATCCTAAGAATGATATGTGGCAATCACCATAAAGTGATTAAACCAATAGTATATATCATCCCCAGGATTCCTATGGAATAACTCCAATTGAACACAAAAATTAGCAGCAAGAATAGGAGGAATTATACTATGCACCATAAGTGCCACCATCAATTGAATTTGGTTGTTCAATTGCAATTACATAGTATCAAGCAATTGCACTAACTATTATTCTAAAATTAAAGGAGGAGGAGACTATTGCTCTACCATGAAAATGAATGAAAAAGGAAAGAACAAAAGAAAAAAAATTGAAAAAAGTAAAAGGAAAAGAAGATTTAGATAATGTAAAAACTAAATCCAAACCAAAATCCCAAATTTAAACACTCTACAAGGACGATCAAAAGTGCTCCTCACTGTGAGTGTATAAAATATAGAAGTGGAATATAAAAATATATATATCAATTAACCCAAAAACCCTAATTTATATATAAGAGCGAATGGTTCAATCTGATAGTTACTAAAATCCCACTATGCTAATATTAATATACGGCACTTTAACCTCACACATTTAAATTTCCATTATCTTTTATTTTTGGGTTTGTAAAATTTTTTGGCAAAAGATTCTAAATCAAGATTCCATTAGGGCTTATAAAACTTGCAGAATATATGAAGTTTTGTCCCGCGCGAGCGAGGGAGGGCATTCTTGGAGTCATGGCGGGGGCGGCGCCTCTGGATTTTCGATTCCTCGACGAGGGGCTAGGCGGCGCCAAGAACAAGAAGCACAAGCGCGATGCCGATCAGGCGGCGATGGATGTGGAGGAGCAGTGGCAGGAGGAGACGGCAGGCTTTGGACCAGAGCCTCGTCCTGCTTGGATGAGGGAGATTCCAGGCCCGTCTACGGTAAGCCCAGCTACGACAGCGTGATCGCGGGGAAGGTGTCAGGGCGCAAGTGGAAGGAGGTGAAGACGTGCCGCGCGTCGGCGCTGTGGGTGAGCGTCGAGGGCAGCAGCCTGGAGGAGCGCGCCAAGGCCAAGCGCATCGCGGCAGAGTTCCGGGAGCGCAAGCAGCAGCTCAAGGAGCAAATCCGGGCCAACAAGGTGGACAAGCGAAAGAGGCTGGAGGAGTACAAGAAGAGGAAGGAGGAAAACGTGAAGAAGTCGGGGTTGAAGCTCCAGAAGGTGACCAACCTCAAGAAACTCCAGAAAATGTCCAAGAGGGAAAAGAAGAAATTGGTGGCACAGCACGGCAATTAAAGGTGGCAGTGTGTCGCACAGATCTGCGAGAGAAAGTAAGTGCTAGACTCGATTGTTAGATCGATCGATAGTTTTATTTTTTCTCTCCTGTTTTTTGTCACTTTAATTCCTTGTTGTTGCCTGAGAAGGACCAGAGATTATCGCCGGGCTCTTCTCTCAGACCGATCAGCGAAAAAGAAAGCAAAGAAAGAAAAAACAATTCTAGAGCCTCGGATGTTGCAGTAGATGGAAGGCCCAGCTACTCATGCAAGTGAGCTACAGTGGTGTTGATTTCCTCAACGTTTAGAACAGCTCTTCTCCACTCGTTACTTGACTTTCGGCCGGCTCGATTTGGCTCGGCTCGGCTGCTTTAAAGGTTCCTACTGGTTTCCTGATTGGACGGACAAAATCCAAACTTCCATTGGTGTTGGAACCCAAGAGAAAGTCGAGAGGCGATAACCTTTTCATCCGCTTAGAAGAAAGCAGGAGAGCAACTAGGCAACGAGAGACAAACTCGCCAACATTTCATTAGATGTACACAATAAATACAACAGCCGCCACAGCAGTAACAGCAGCAGCAAGAAGAAGAAAAAAACCAAGAGACAGAAGAGCGGATGATGTCAGAAAAAAATGGATGAACCGGGAAGAGATCTCGAAATCTTTGAACGTCCCGTGCCGCGTTCTGAGAAAAGGAAGGAGAAGCTGAAGAGAAACACAAGAAGTGTGCTCGCTCGCTGACCCGCTCGTTTGATCGAGAGCTAGCGAGTTAGCGCAGCTCAAAAACTGGGCGTTCCGGACCAGCCATCGAGACACTTCAACAAGGGAGCAACAAGCTTCCCCTGGCAGATGGCATCGTAGACTTTGGTGAAGTCCTCGCCGGGCGTTCCACTCTTGGTCCCCATGAGCAGCGCAGTTCCAGCACCTTTCCTCACAAACTCATACAGCGGCGCCGAGGCACAGTCGAAGATCCGGTTTGGCAGCACCGCGTTACCGCTCTCGTACGCCTCCCTGGCCGCCGGGACCTCGACACTCAACGCCGCCTTGAGCTCCTCCTCGAACAGCCCGATCTTGTGCAACACCGAGGAGCTCTCGTCCCCGATGTTCTTCAAGGCGTGCTCGACGAGAACCTGGCGGAGCTTCTGCATGAGCGGGTATCCAGCGCTGGCCGGATCATCGATGTAGGTGAAGACGTGCTGGTTGTCCACCACGGACAGGAGCTCCTTCTCGCAGAAGCGCGACGGCAGCAGCGCTCCGGCAGCTCCGGTGGTGACCGTGTTCTTAGCGGCGTGAGAGACGGTCTGCTTCACGGTGGCTTGCAAGTTCTCCTCGAGGTGGCGGAGGTCGATGGCCTGGCACAATGCCACCAGATACGTCGACGACATGAGCTTGAGGATGTCGAGAGCTTCCACCGTCTTGCGAGCGGAGACGAGGCCGAGAGAGTTCACGTCCTGGTTGTGCTGCTCGGCGCTCTGGACGTGGGTGGTGACCGGGTTGGCCAGGTACTGGAGCTCCGAGGTGTACGAGGCCATGGCGATCTCGGCACCTTTGAAACCATAGTCCAAGCTCGGGTTGGATCCGCCGCTCAAGTTGGAAGGCAGGCCGTTGTTGTAGAAGTCATTGACGAGCTCCGAGAACTGCGCGAACATGAGCTTCCCGATGGCCGCCACCGCCAAGCGCAAGTTATCCATGGACACACCGATGGGCGTCCCCTGGAAGTTCCCGCCGTGGAGGGCCTTGTCGCGAGCAACATCGATGATCGGGTTGTCATTCACGGAGTTGATCTCGCGCTGGATGGAGTGAGTGGCGTGGCGGATGACTTCGATCTGGGGGCCGAGCCACTGCGGGGAGGTGCGCAGCGCGTAGCGGTCCTGCTTGGGCTTCTTGAGGGAGTCGGTCTCGTGGAGCTTGGCGGCGGCTTTCATGTAGGAGCTCCCGGCGAGGACATGTTCCATGATGGCGGCGGCCTCGATCTGGCCGGGGTGGTGCTTGAGCTTGTGCGTCAGCGGATCCGTGAACTCGGGCTTGCCTTGCATCGCCTCGCAGAACATCGCGGACAGGATCTCGGCCAGGAGCGCCAGGACGTTGGCGTCGAAGCAGGCGATGGAGGCCACCGCCGCGCCGACTGCCGTGCCGTTAACGATGGCGAAGCCTTCCTTGGGCTGGAGCTCGAACGGCTGCTCCACGCCGACGAGCTTGAGCGCCTCGGCGCTGGTGACGACCTTCCCACCCGGCAAGACGGCGCGCACGTTGGATCGGCCGCTGAGCAGCCCGGCAATGTAGCTGAGAGGGACGAGATCGCCGGAGGCAGTGATCGTCCCGCGGAGTGGGATCCGCGCCACGATGCCCGAGTTGACGAGCTTCTCCATGGCGGACAGGATCTCCCACCGGATGCCCGAGTAGCCCTGGAGGAGCGTGTTGGTGCGCACCAGCATCGCGGCGCGCGCGAAGGCCAGCGGGAGAACGTTGGTCGAATCGTCGTCGCTGAAGATCCCGGCGTTGAGGACGCGGATGAGCTCGCGCTGGAGCCCCACGCCCTGGTTGATCCGGCGGTGGGAGGTGGCGCCGAATCCAGTCGTGACACCGTAGATGTCGGTCCCCTTCATCGCATTGTCGAGTACCCAGTTGGAGCTCTCGTCCACCCTCTTCTTGGCGGCGGCGGAATCCAAGCGTACCTGGGCGCCGCGCTTGGCCACCGCCGCCACCTGGGCGATGGTGAGCGTGGTGCCCTCGATCGAGAAGCTGGGCTTGGCGGCGCCGTAGACGGTGTGGACCATCTCGCGGACCTCCTCGAGGTGGCTACCCGACATCGCCGCCGCGGCCTTCTTCCAGCTGAGGGGATCGGAGGTGTCGTAGCGCGGAGTGGAATTGGGGAGGCAGAGCGTGGGATCTGGCGACACCCGGACGAGCGGCGAGTAGGAGGAGGTTGTGTCGCTGCCGTTGGCCACCATTTTCGCTTCTTCCCCTGGATCGATCGATCGATTGAGGGAGGATTTGTCTAGCTCCTGCAGCAGGGGAGGAATGAGAAGCCCAAATTGAGAGCGCCGGTAAATCGAGCTCCTGCCAATGCACAAGACGAGGATGCGTGGAATCGATTGCCCGGCCTTGCCCTGTTCTCCGATCGAATCGTCCTCTCTCTCGGATCAAATCGAATGTTTGCGCTCTTCTTTCTGTGTTCTTCTTCTTTTGTGCGTTGGAAAAAGAGAGAAGAGAGAACACTGATCCGTGCCAGCGTTTGAACTACGCTTTATACCCGCGGATGAGGGCTGCGCGGTCATGGCCATGGCCATGACTGGCATGATGTGGCAGCCGGATGCCCCGAGAATATTCTGGGCCGGACCAACCTACGGCTGCGCCGCTGTAGGGAAATAAAACACATGGGCGGCAACCGCGGCGTCCAGGTGGACGGCCGGATTGTCAAGCCCACATGGCGGACGGGTGGATAGACTGGTGGGCATGCTGGTCATGGTGACGTGGAGCCCTAAAAGGTTGATGCATGTATGCTAATATCTATCTTTTTGTTTGGGGGTTCTCTTCTTTCTTGTGTATGTGTGGGGTTGTTATATGCTGTTTGGAGAGACCAGCCATCTCCCCTTTATGTTTTGATCAATCTGAAATGCCTTTGTTATTTGGTTTGGTGGACCTATCTACAGTGTTTATGCAATTTGCCTATTATAGTTCTTCAGCATGCATTGTGTAGTTTTCTCTCTTCCTTGATTTCCTAGTGGTTTCAATGCCCTATTTGTTGCTCTAACACACCACATGCTTAATAACTAAAGGACTTGCCAAATAATTTATAATAGTTCAAATATAAAGGGAAAAGGGGTATTTGGATTTTCGATGGTGATCTATTATGCTAAGTTTAAGTTAGTACTTTGTTTCTTTGAGAATTTGCTTATAAAGTGTTAGAAAAGGTTATAACATTCACTTGTTATAACTTGTTGGTTTATTCGTTAACACTTTGAGTAAATTGTTGGATGAAGAAGGTGTATAATTGAGGCATTGACATCACTAGCATTTATGTTAGTGAAAGTGGCATTGTAATTTCGAGTGATGAGGAATTTTCTTTACATCTTGATTTTTCATGTCATTTTTTTTGTTAATGCATTGTAATTTCGAGTGATGAGGAATTTTCTTTACATCTTGATTTTTTATATCATTTTTTTTGTTAATGTTTTGCTTTCACATTGGATCTTAAAGGTGATTGAAGAAAAGTATTAATGCAATGTAGATATTTGAAGCTATGGTTTTCATGATCAAATCTTGGGTATTCACTTTGCATTTTGCGGATGTTGATGTCGGATTTGGAAATATGGGCATAATGTTAGCATGCTATTAGGTTATAAAAATTTGTGTTGAGGTGAACCTATATGAAGTTGTATGTAAAAGAAAGTTGGTTGAGTCTTGAAAGTTTATATTTTTAGACTAAAAATCATTCTTTCTTTAGGATGGAAATTTTCCACAAATTTTCTTAAACTTTTCCAATGGCTGATCTATTGATCATTTTGTTCAAAAACCATTTTGTTTTCAAAAGCCAATACAAACTAGTGAAGTGATCTTGGTTAGCTTAGACCTTAGTAAATAGTTTGTAAGATGCGACCTAAAAGGGATGTTAACTTTTAGGCTAAAATAATTGAGTTTAGATAGAGTCTGAAGTTGGTATAGAAAAGTGGCCATTACACTTTTCTATAAAGGTGATCTTTGTGTCTTTGTTTTGTAACATTATGTTTGATGGCAAGTTGCATCTTGCATTTTATTAAACTCTATGAGAGTAGTGAACTTTTATTAATTTTGACTTGGTCTTAGTGGCCCTACATCTTGGTTGAGGATAGTGATGTCTAACTTAGTTGTTTGCAGTTAAAATGTTAATATCCATATTATAGCCTTGTCTATGAGGAAGTTGTATACTAATATGAGACCATTTCATCATCTTTACTTTAGTTTTAACTAGTTAACCTCTTCAAGATATACTCAAAATTATTAGTTATACGTGTTTATGAGTTTATTACAATTTGATTAGATTTGAGTGGTCATTTAATCGTGCTTATTCATGAACCTTTATCTTATACCTAGGGTATTACATTTATATTGGACAAATATATAACTTGATGATATGAGTTTAGTGTTTAGATTTTATGAAAGACAAGTTAAAAAGTGATTGTTAGTTATCTTGCAATTAGTGATTGCTTATAAATTTTATTAAGGACTTGCTTTACTTAATGAAAATTTGTTAGTGATAGGTTTACTTTACTGGATAGGATTGTGTTATTAAACTTGTATGGTTTTTCCATATTAGTATATCAATTCCACCTTTATCAATTTTATATAGTTGTGTTTAATCTGTGGTGTTGGATTTCATTGAGTCTTAAATGTGATGAATCACTCATTGATGATATGTTATTTATAACTATATATTGTTGAAGGATTAGTTTCAGATATTGAGTAAAATATTTTTGACTTTGGTTAGTTTGGTTACTAAAGAGTTTTGAGTGGTGATTCACTTTTACTTTCTTCTAGCTTTGTTTTGGTGTTGATAGCATTGAAGTGATGCTTTGTCATTTACAAAAAGCTTTGACCTAAAAAGTCAAGAATGGGAGTGGAACTATAAATTAAGTGCTCAAGGGATGAGCATGAAGCAATTAGTGAATGAGTCTCCAAAAAGGGACACAAAAAAGACTAATACATGGCAAGTGTTGTGACATATGGAACTATCAAGAACAAGATAGAATCTGAGATGGAGTCTGAGATGGACCCAAGATGGAGTCTGAGATGGACCCAAGATGGAGTTCGAGATGGACCCAAGATGGAGTCCAAAACTAAGATTGAGACTGAAACCAAGTCTAAGTTTGAGCCCAAGTTCAAATCCAAGTCCAAGTCTAAGTCTAAGGGTGAAAGCCCAAAACAATTATCTCCTATAAACTTTAGGAATTCCAAAAGTATAGTAGGCGTTAGTTTGGCCAGGAAAAGCCAGTGTGACTAACTATATCCATGTATTGGATGATGGTATAGCTATTAAAGAGTCCAAGGCTAAATATAAGCTCCTAAGTTAGGATTTCCCGGGAGGTCACCCAGCCCAGTACTATTCAAACTTAATAACAATTACCCCAAGTATCTCAAGACCCTTAACCGATTGAAAAAAGGGGTGCACTATTATTCATGGACCCTTTCCCTCTATATTTGAATCTTATGAATCATATCTCAAGTCATTCCCTTTGATTGCTTACACTAAAGTTGAAAAGTCCTTTTATGTAGTGATTAAGGATATGATCACATGGTGAAGAAGTTTTAGATATCGGTGGAAGCCTTTCAGGCTAATGACAATGTTGGCAAGTATGGCTGTGGATGGGGACTTGGTGGGAATTAAAAAAAGAACATTAGGAAAGGGTGTTCCTTATATTTTCCAGCATCTTAAAGATGCTAAAATGTGGTTATAAAATGACCACTCATAGATAGATTTTGAGAAATGGGTTTGTAATGCAAGTGGTCTTAAACCACTAAGGTGACAAAAATGAATGGGCATAGATTTAACATAATAGACTGATATATTGGTAATACCTTTGGGTGTTGGTTATAAGATGGAACAAGTAGAACATTTAAACCAAGTGTAAAGGCTAAGTGGCATAAATGTCATTTATGAGGTTAGCAATTCCCTAAGTTCGGAGTAGGACTCATGGAGGTTGTGAATGAGACTCCTCTAAGTGGTTAAAGGTGTGGTTAAGTGATTTAAGTAGAATGAAAAATTTAATTACTTACATTTTAATGTTGTTTTAGTCTTTATAAAACATTAAGAAATATATATACACATTCATCTTTCAAGTGGCATTTATTTTACACAACTCACTAGAAAGTGAAATCTTATGTTGTGTTGATGATAGCCCACACCATCTTTTATAAATCCACCCCAAAGCAAAAATCTAGATAGTGACAATCAAGTGTGGGACATGTGGAATCTAACAACCTCTGCAAATGATTTGCTAGGCATAAGATTGTGACTTTGTGGTAAAAAGCATAGTAAATCTTCCACCAGCTTTTGAAAGGACATAATACTGGCATTGGGAATCTTGTCCCGTCAAATGTAGGTCTTTGATTCCATGCCAGATCAGATCCTAGCATCCTGGAATTCCTTGCTGACAAACATGGCATCTTGTTCCTCTTTCGATGACACAAAGAGGGTGTTTGATTCCATGAAGAGAAAGAATCTTTTCTCTTGGACGGTGATGCTAACGGGATATGCCCGAACTGGGGATCTGGAGGGCATGAACGCTTTGTTTGGTGCTATGCCCGAGAGGAATCTCATGTCATGGACGGTCGCAATTAGTGGGTTTGGTTCCAACGGCAAGATCCAGCATGCAAAGAGTCTGTTCGACTCGATGCTAGAGTGGAATCTCGTCGCCATGAATGCGATGCTCGCGGCATTTGTCCAGGAGGGCTATCTCCAAGAGGCCAAATCCTTTTTCGATCGGATGCCTGAGACGAATCTAATTTCCTCGACAATGTTGCTGCGAGCTTACGCTCAAGAATCACAAATCCTCGAGGCAAACCGCTTGTTTGATTCAATGCTGGAGAAGAATCTCGTCACCTGGACAACGATGGTAGCCGCATTTGGCCAGGATCCTCTTCTTCTGGGTGAAACAAGAGATCTCTTTGATCGGATGCCGGAGCACAACATTGTGTCATGGACAGTGATGCTGACGTCATACGGTCGCGCTGGCCACGTCACCCAAGCACAGGGCATCTTTCATCAAATGCCTGGACGAGACCTGACAGCATGGAATGCCATGCTGGCAGCATTCGCCCAAGATGGGCAAATCTTACACGTAATTAACTTGTTTGGGCAAATGCCTGTGCATGACGTAGGATCCATGTCAGTCATGGTAGACACTCTGGCACGGTGTGGGAAGCTTGAGGAAGCAAAGGAAATATTTGATCAGGTCCGCAGCTGGTGCATCTCCTCTTGGACGTCGATGATCTTTGCATATACCTCCTTCGGGTATTTTGAAGAAGCAGAGGCTTTATTTCATACAATGCCCGAAGTAGATACCATAGCCCAAAACGCATTTATTTCATCTTTAGCACTTAATCGTAAACTTGCTAGTGCAGTTGGTGTTTTTCACAGGGCTAACCAGAGAGACGTAACAACTTGGAACATCGTTCTTTCTGCATTTGCCCGCGATGGTCATCTGCAAGAAGCGGAAAAAGTCTTCCGATCGATGCCGGAGCGCGATTTCGTGAGCTGGAATTCAGTGCTGGCGGCATTTGCGGGGCAAGGCAAGCCAGCCCAAGCGATCGGATTCTTCTTCGAGCTTCAGCAGCAGTGGATCCCCAGCGCAATCAGCGTTGCTTGCTTCTTGGTTGCCTGCGGCCGGGCGGGGAACTGCGTACTGGGCATCTCTTGCTTCAGATCCATGGCATGGGACTTCGGATTGGAGGCAACCAAGCAGCACTACAGCTGCGTGATCGATCTCCTGTGCCGGGCAGTCGTTTTGGCGAATGCCCAAGCCGTGATTGCTGAAATGCCCAGCGTTCCTGATCTTGTAGATTGGCATTGCATGCTCGCGTTTTGTTCCAGTGACAAAAACGTTGAGCAAGGAAGAGTGTGTGCCATGTCTGTTCTTGAGATGGAACCAAACAACGCTGCTGCTTACGTCTCGTTGTCACAAACATTGATCTAAACTCCCCGCCACGATTTGAAATTAGGGTGTAATTTTTAAAGCCCTAATTCTGATGTGGCGCGCATTTATTGGTAGTGGGAATGGATGCACCAATTGGCTTACTCTTACTTTGGAAGGAACCCTAGAAAGGGATTCTCCACGATGCTAGCACCGAGGCGATAGCGCGGCGCCTGGGCCTTGATTCCTGCCCTCCTCCAACGATGATCGTGAGATTCAAGCCCCTGGTAGGCGATTCGCGACAATGCAGCACCAAAATCCTCACCGCCTCGCTGAAATCGCTGCTCCGGTTCTGCGAGGGCAAGAGCACGCACTGCCGATCGCTGCCATGGCGGATGCCGTCTGGAAGCCTCATAATCTCCAGCCGGGGCAAGAATCTAAGCGGCCATTCGACGCCCGCGATCTTGATCAAGCGCAGGAATTTCGAGAGTGGGAGTAGCAGCGGCGATTCGTCATCGTCGATCAAAACGGAGACGCGGTGCCCGTCCTGCGATGCCAAGATCTCGATTCCTGTCTCGTCCGGATCCTCGTCGTCGGCAACGTATCTCCACGATATCTTCGGCAAGCGCGGCTACTCCTTCGAGCAGGCTTGCCCTCACTGCGGGGCAATGTGTTCCATCGGGCCACTGGAATTCGCGGCCGGATGTGCGCAAGATCCCAGGAGCAGCAAGGAGAAGGAGCAAGAACAATCTTCTCCTTCTCGTCCTTCCTCCTCCGTGGACGATCAGCTCCGCGGCTGGGTGAGGAAGATGATCAACAATGCATTGCTGGAGAAGGTGTCGTCGTCATCGCCATCGTCTTCTTCTTCGTCGGCTTCCGGTGGTGGTAAGAATGACGGTGGAAGGGACTCCAGGGAAGGCTCCGGGGGCATGATTCCTGTGGAGCCACCGTCACCTCCCATTCCACCAGACACCCACGTCACGCGCTCACTCAAGAAATCGTCCAAGCACAACTCTGGATCGAGCTACTCGCTGGGTGACACGAGCCGGAGATGGGGTGGTTCCAATCTCGGGAGGAATTTGCCTTCTCCTCGTGAGATCTCCGAGGAGCTTGACAAGTTCGTCATCGGCCAGGACCGAGCCAAAAAGGTGTGATGGTGCTCGTGTTCTTGCTTTTATCTTACGTTTGGTTGTTCTTCTCTTCCAGGTGTTGTCTGTGGCAGTCTATAATCACTACAAACGGATTTACTTTGAGAGTTTAAGAAATGAAGCTGCCAAAGCCGCTTCTATGGGAGAGTACGCAACATTTTTTCTATTCCTATACCAACAAGTGCTTGCATCGTTTTTCAGATCAGAGGAATTTGATGAGAGCGTAGTGTCGAATGCCAATGCGTCTGGAGACGATGAAGTTGAGCTTGAGAAGAGCAATGTGCTGTTGCTCGGTCCTACTGGCTCTGGTACCGATGCTTTACACAAGATTCCATGCAAGCTCACCTTGATTTTTTGCAGGGAAGACATTGTTAGCTAAGTGCTTGGCAAAGTTTGTGAATGTTCCCTTCATAATTGCAGATGCTACGACGCTCACACAGGCAAGATTCAATCAACAAATTTTCTAAGATGCAAGTAAGGAAATTTTGTTTGAGCTTGGTTCGTTATAAAGTATTGGCTCCTTAGGCAGGATATGTTGGAGAAGACGTGGAATCTATCCTTCATAAACTTCTTGTGGTATGTTTGGGATACTATTACCTGGTCCTAAGCTTTTTGTCTTTCACTAGGCGGCCGAGTTCAACGTAAATGCAGCTCAGCAAGGAATAGTCTACATTGACGAAGTCGACAAAATTACCAAAAAGGTATGATCAAAATCCATTTTTCTTTCTTTCTTTCGGCCTGACTTTTCTCCAGTGCAGTCAGAAAGCCTCAACATTGGAAGGGACGTGAGCGGTGAAGGTGTTCAACAAGCACTGCTCAAAATTTTGGAAGGAACTGTAAGGAGCTGAAATTCTATTCTCATTGCAAAGGCTTCTGGGGTAATCAACTCGTTCAGTGAGTGTGTACAGATTGTTAACGTCCCTGAGAAAGGAGCTAGAAAGCATCCTCGTAGCGATCACACCCAGGTTTGCTGTGGGGTTCTATCTTTCAGCTTTGATTTATTTAACCATGCCTACTTTCAGATTGATACGAAAGAAATCCTTTTTATATGCGGGGGAGCTTTCGTGGATCTGGAGAAAACGATTGCAGAGAGGTTAGCGGTTGCAAAGACTTTAGTTATCGTTTTTATCTAAAGCAATATCCCAGGAGACAAGATTCGTCCATCGGTTTTGGGGCACCAGTGCGAGCCAATATAAGAAACAACGGTGGTACAACCAGTGCGACGGTTGCTTCATCATTGCTTGAAAAGGTTCGCTTTACGGCTTTAATATTTAGAGATCTCTCTTTTCTCTTGAGCAGGTCGAGAGCAGTGATCTCATTTCATATGGATTGATACCAGAGTTTATTGGACGCTTTCCGGTGATTGTGAGCCTTTCCGCTTTGAACGAGGATCAACTTGTCCAGGTTAGTTAAATGAATTATACTTTACAGCATTCTTTTTCCTACCTTTGCAAGCGGGCAGGTTCTCATGACGCCTAAGAACGCATTGGGCAAACAGTACACCAAGCTCTTTGCAATGAACGACGTAAGAGATGTCTCAAAAATTTCCTCCTCCATGTGCCGATCCGCTTTCTTTCTCTGTTAAGGTGAAACTTCACATTACCACTTTAGGACTGAGAAGGATCGCTCAAAAGGCCATGGTCAAAAACACAGGTGCCCGTGGCTTGCGTTCTATCCTGGAGCAGCTCCTCACGGAGGCAATGTTCGTTGTGAGTCGCAAACTTTTTCTTCGAATTGGAAATTCATACTGACTTTGTTATTGCAAGGTTCCCGACGGCGATATTGGAGCTGCCAAGATTGATGGAGTGGTGATTGACGGTGCTGCCGTTGGCACACCGGATGGCCAACCAGGTGCCGCCAAGATTCTTCGCGGAGACAACGCGCTCGAGATGTTTGTAGCCAAGCACCTAGAAAACGAAGAAAAGGTCGGAAGCTCTCAAAACTTTTACGTTTTCTCATCTCATCTCCTCATTGACAGAGATTTCACGAGAAGAAATCCAGAGACTCTGGAGCAGCATTGGTGGTGGTAGCCGGAGGGAACAGGCATTGTTGAAGACTTTTTCACCTTTTATTTTTATTACAACAAGCTTTAAGGGAAAAACGTAGTGTTTTTTTTCCTTTTGGTTCTTCTGTACAGAATAAATGGGTGGCTTTGACGGACCAAAATAAACAAAACGGATTGTTAGCTAGCGACGAAGCTTTACACTGAAAAACCTGTCGTCGTGCCGTGTCGGATCATCGACTCTAAATCTCGTAGAAAACCTTGGCCTTCACATCACGATTGAAAGAATAAAATCCTTTCGGTCACAGCCTGGATTAGACAAAATCTTTTCAAAGCCACGTAAAGAGAAGAGAGTAAACGTACCCGGAAGTAGTAGTAGAAGCCAGGAAGAAATCCATCTCTCCTGCTTTTGCTTGAAAGAGATGTAACTTCACACAGACCTCACTTCACCACCGCCTGGCCTTTGCTTGTCCGCCGAGAAATCGCGTGACTTCTCGTACACGTCGCCAAAGGGGAGATCAAACTGGCCGCCACCATCGTTGTCAGCGTGCGTGCTCGTGAAAGAACTCCGTGACGGTCTTCGCAGCCAGTCACTGTCCTGGTCCTCCTCACTCTCGCTGTCCTGCGGTAAGGTTGCTCCCCGAAACACTGGAGGCTGGAAGATGCTCTCCCCGTTCATGGCCGAGCCACCAGCTCGCCGTGCCCACCATCGACTCTCGGTAGCAGCCCGGTCGCTTGTAGTCGCCTTTACCAGATTCCTGCCAGCTTCAGCATATCGCTGCAGCTCTCCGGTATTGCTTTCGCCACCACTCTCACGTTCAACCTGTTCGCTCATTGGTATCCCGATCTCGTAGCCTTGCACGGACTTGGACGTGTAGTACTGGTCGAGCCAGTACATCTGATCCACCTGGACTAAGTTGCTGTTGGACAGTAGGACGAAGTCGTTTCTCGTGCTCTGCCTCATGCTCGCGCGGAGAAGTGGATGCCGAGAACTCATGCCGTCCCTGAAGATTCCTGTCTGGTGCAGGATGGTGGATGACAATGAAGGGATCGACATTGGGTGCGTTGCGGGATCTTCGTGGCGCATTCGGAACTGAGCAAGAAGATTTAGGAACTGTTTTCCTTTGGCGTCGGGTTCCCAGTTTGGATAGTTGCTCTTGAAGCTGCAGCACGCAGTTAGCACGTAACTGATAAAAGTGATGTTTCGGTTACCTTAGAAACGATTTTTCCATCTTTCCTTGGTTGCTCCTTCGGTCTTTGGCTGTAAAACACGGGGAACCATACTTCATGTTCCCGTGGTGCTCAAAATCAAATACGGCAAGGCTGCAAACATCGCCTACGCCAGATAAATTGACAGTGAAGTCCTGAACAAACTGCAGCACATCATCGACACACTGCACACGGAGAGCTAACATCAATGCACGATAAACATGCCATATAGAAGTACCTCTGGGAGGAGAACAATAAGGATAAAAGGCGTGACAAATATTGAAATCATTTCCTCCAGCAGCATCACACCCGTATACTGAAAAGACGTTAGGAATTAGCCTAGACCGATTCATGAGCTTAGCCTCCACAAACCTGAAATAATTTTTCAAATTCCAGCCGTATTCTGATCGTATACTCGGCTCCCCTCCAATGTTTTGGCATGTAATGCGTATGCTGTGCTACATATCTCATGAAGCCTTCTGGATCAAAGACTTGGTTTTCGTCGGCTGTGCATTGCTTGCTGATTGCAGTTATAGTGCCGAAAACAGCGGCCATCCATAACAAGTTGCGCCCAAAGAGCTAAGAGCAAAAATAAAGAGTCAAAACTTATTCAAATTAGAGCACATTCTTACCTGAGCTTCAAGGAGAGATTCATCCAAAAACGCGATAATAATTAGCACGGCTGCTAGTCCGCCGGAGACAAAAGACACGAACTTTGCAACCTTTGAAACAATTGGAGACGGAAACTGTTTAACGTACTCGACTGCCGGTTTGTAGCTCGCATTAAGCCTTTGATTAAACATATGCTCCAGCTGCGTGCAGCACACACCACGTTTAAGATCGTTGAGCATTTAGAAACAAAGAAGTTTACCTCGTTGAATTCACGGAATGTCCACTTTGCTAAGTTGGACCACCGGCGAGAGACAGCAGAGCTTGGGTGATTGTAAAACTGCTCGGCATGCCTCAGGAAGAAGAATACCAGCATAAATATTATCAAGAAGGGAGACAACAAGAGCATGCACAGCCCGAATGTTCTCAAGCGCTTCTTTAACCGATGAGGACTGTTAAGAAAGTCTCTTTGAATGGAGAAGCGCCTGAAAGAACGGGAACATTGTGATTAACAGACCCACACTGAACACTTCGTTTTACCTGTCAAACATATACTGAAGTATGCACCAGTTTAGACTCCACTCGAGGGTCTTACTGAGAAACAGCCGCTTCCGCACACCCTGAGGACCACGGGCAACAGTCAGCCCGACTCCCGGCACCCAGTGTGGAAGAGGAAGCGCAAAAACGCCCTTGTTCACCATCCCAATCAGATAATTCTCCTTTCGCATGATGCGCATCACAATGTCGTGAGCCGAGAGATGCCGAACTATACACAGCCTCTGCTGCACAATTCTCTCCAGAACCACCGGCCACAAGGTGGTCTGTATCTCGTGTTCCGTAAGGCACAAACTGCAAGAATACAAGCAAACAAGTGAATCCACAGTAGAGTTTGCAATGATAGAGACAGACCTTGTGTGGTAAAAGTCCCGGATCTCCAGAGTTTCCTTGAGCTGTGTGAAGAACCTCAGGAAACAAAAGATCCAGTAGAGCGAGAACAGAACCAAGTACGTGACGACCATAAACCTGTAGAACGTGAGAGGCTGTAGCGGATGCTCGTAGAGCGCCTCCTTTGACAAGTCGCAAGGAGCAGTCCCAGCTTCCGCCGCAGCAATCCCACACTTGGCAGTCCGGAGGCCATGCCAGTTGACGAAGAGCAAGAAAAACCCCGAGAACAAGATGGTGAAGGCCAGGCACAGCAGCTCCAGAACCCACTGCGTGACAATGCACCAGAACCCCTGCTCGCGATGGTACTCATAGAGCCGCACGAAGAAACGATCCAAGTCCGAGACCGCATCAAACTTGAGGCTCTCCTCCTTCATAAAATCCACCGGACTGGAAGAATCATCGCCGGGTGGCGGTGCCGGCGGCGCCCCTGGCAACTGTTGGTAATCGTTAAGCTCCACGTCTCCTTGCCTCTCCACCATGAATCCTCCGTGAATTCCTTCATTTCTATGCATACTACGCCCTGTGCTAATCACCTCGTACATATTTCTCCTTCATCCATCCCATTCCTTTGTTTCCTCCGCGCTAGCCTCTTCTCCTCCCTGTGGCATCCAGCGAGCAATCGGCGGCCATGGCGGAGGAGCGGCGACGACGATTCCCGGCCCTCTCTCCAAAAACCCTAACCTTTTGGCGAGCGCAGACACAACCTGGCGGTGATCCAGCCGGTGGCGCGTCTATCGATCGGCGGCGGCGCCGCTTCCTTCCCTCAAACCGGCGCTCGAGGCGACGATTGAGCGCAATGCCTACACGCGACGACAAGCATCAAGAGAAAAAGAGGTATAGAATTTAAGAATTAGACGGAAAACCATTTTGGTTAAACACAACCCCCACGCGCTTACGTGTCGCGTGCCCTAACAACGTGGTACGTGGCGTGCCATAATTGGCGGCCACCCAAAGCCTCCGCCACAGGAATCGAACTCCCGCCCTCCACGAAAACTCTTAACTCAAGTCAGCTTAAATAACCACGGAGTTTGGAATGACCGCGTCTTTTATCACTGTCACGATCCCACAATTGATGAAGAAACCGTCGGTTTCTCTGGCGGCTTCCTGGACACCATCTTTGTTTATGATCTGCAAAAACGACGAGCAAACACAGATTTTTTTCTCTTCCTTGAAACATCAAAGACAACGAGATCTTGCCTGAACGTTTTGTCCAATTCGCGCGTTCTTGTCCACAATTGCTCGCCTCACCACACTGCCTTTGCCGATGCCAACGGGGACTCCTCCTTTTAGTAGAAGAGCGTCTCTTTCCTCGTCAGTCTAGAGAGAAGCATCGTCAGAAGAAAGAAAAACTATAAAGAAAAAAAGATTGCAACACCTCATAGAGGAACAAACTATAAAGAAAGAAAGATTGACACACCTCATAGAAGTCGGCACCCATGAGCAGTGCGTCTTCCACCAGCGCATCCTCTGCTATCCAGGACCTCAATCCAATCACCGAGTGGTGGATCTTACAGCTCTGCGTCGCGTTCGTTAAAGCTTCTCTTCTTTGCCGCATTTGAAAAAACAAACCTTGATGAGGCAGCCTTCGCCGATCACACTGTCAGTCACGTCCGCATCGATGAGTTTCGAGGGAGGTAAAAACCGTGCTTGAGTGTAGATCGGAGCCGATCTATCATAGAAGCTGGAGCAAGACGAAAGAAAAGTTAGCAGAATGAGCACTCACGACAACAAGCTTCTAGTACCTGAAGTTTGGAACGGGCTTCTTTGTGAATCCTAAGTTGGCATGGTAAAATGCCTCTATAGTCCCTATGTCTTCCCAGTATCCATCATACAAATACGCTTGCACCTGCGACGAACAGAGCATTGTTTAAGTCACGTTCGTTTCGATCCCTTCAGAGCAAAAACAAACCTTCATGCCAAGCTGTGTGGCGCCAGGAATCACTTCACTTCCAAAATCGTTGCAGTTAGGAAATTCATCACGAAGAAGCCTGCTCATGACATCCTTACTCACCACATAAATACCCATGCTTGCAATGTAAGGCATCTCTTTAGCTCTTTCCGGATCCAGACCAAGAATTGTCGTGTCCACCTGCAAGAGCAGCATAGCATTATTGTTTCGATTCTAGTCAGCGCAAACAAACGACAATAAATATACCTCCATAGCCTTGAGAGCACTTCCTTTCGGCTTCTCAGAAAACTCTGTGATCCGGCCTTCGTCATCAATCTTCATCAAGCCAAAGGCAGTCGCGCGCTTCTCGTCCATAGGCAATGCAGCCACCGTGATGTCTGCATCGGTGATCCGGTGAGCTTGAATGAACTTCTGGTAGTCCATGCGATAGAGATGATCTCCAGCCAGAATCAAATACTCCATCACAGGCTGCTCTTCAAAAAGCCACATATATTGTCTCACAGCATCAGCGGTTCCCTACAAAAAACAATTTCAGCTGGAACTGCGAGAACTTAAAAACTTTGAGAACAATTACCTGAAACCAGTTAGGATTCTCGGGACTTTGTTGAGCAGCGAGAACCTCCACGAATCCTTCGTTCTTGTAGTTTCCCATGTTACTGGAATAAGCTCGCGATAAGTGACGGTTCAACGATGCCGAGTTGAACTGCGTGAGAACATAGATCTTCCTGATGTTGCTGTTGATGCAGTTACTCACGGGGATATCGATGAGACGATAGTTTGCACCCAGTGGCACCGCTGGCTTTGCCCTCTTTTTCGTGAGTGGATAAAGCCGTGTCCCGGCTCCTCCACCAAGAATGATCCCCAAAACGCTCTAGAAGAAGAAAACCACTTCAGTGAGAATGGTTTCTAGCATCAGAGAAAAGAATGCATGATCCGGACTTCTACGGCCCTTATCTCCGCTAGATTGTGCATGGCCGAACCAAACGAGCAAGAAAAGCAAAGCAAGGTAAAAAACCCACAATGCAGCAATGCGTGAAAGAGCAAGCACTCACCACTCCAGCGTCGGGCTTCAAGCAGATCTCCTCCTCCATGGAATCCGACACCGCCTTCACCACCAAAGCTCCGGGCTGCATCGCCGGCCTCAATGCGGCGGGCGAGGTTCTCGTCAGACCTGAGGTACTGGCGATTGAGGCCGAGAAACCCAAGCAATTCCTCGTCGTCGCCCCCATCGATCTCGATCGCGCGTGGCAGCTCGCCGCCGTAGAGGGCAGCAGTGGAGATCTTGCCGAGGCGGTGGCCATAGCTCGCAACCTCCCTCACAAGAAGAAGAAGAGGTCCTTCGCAGTATCCTGCTCGTGTGCTAAAGTGCTCCAAAATGAAGACATGTGGTTCATAGAGGAGTATCGGAATATTCCCAACCACCTCATATTCTGTAGTGCAAGTCCGTACGCACCACCTGGCAACGTCGCGTCCGTTCGTACACCTGGCCATTTCTGCCCTAATTTTTCTCCCCGGCAGTGGGAAGAACAGAGCAGCCGCTATGAGGAACAGTGACCGATGGTGAGCGAGGCGATTCCCAGCGATGGTGAAGAAAGATCGCAGCAAGAAGCGGCGGCCGTGGAAGGAGAGGCGTCCTGCAGCTATAATCTCGTGAAGAAGATGAAGAAGCTGGATCGAGAATCCCTGAAAACCCCAATCCCCGGCGGAGAGGAAGAGGAGGACGATGACGATCAATTCATGGATCCAGCATTGTGGGGATGCCTCCCGGAGGATCTCCACGACAGAATCCTGGCCCGGCTCCCAATCCCCAGCTTCTTCCGGCTCCGCATCGTCTGCTCGCGCTGGCAATCCCTCCTCTCCTCCCCGACATTCCTGGGGCACTGCGCCGCCAAGAATCACCAATCCTGGCTCCTCATGTTCGCGGACGTCCACTACAAGCTCGTCTTCGTCTACATCCCGGACGAAGATCGCTGGCTCCATTTCCCCCTCTCCTTCCTCCCCTCCAACATCTACTACATCACCGGCGCCGGCGGATTGCTGTGCTTCCGCCTCGTCGAGGCAAACGGCGCCTCGAGCATGTGTGTGTGCAATCCAATCACGCGATCCTGGCGCCGCTTGCCGCCGCTGCTGGGAGATTTCTACGCGGGGCTTGTCGGCATGGTCGCCGAGAGCGAGGACCCTAGAACCCTAAAATCCGGGCGATACCGCATTGTCGTACGGACAAAGCCGCCCGGATCGGACGACTTCGATTTCACCAACCTGCGTACGGAGGTGTACGATTCGGCCAGTGGGCACTGGTCAATTAGTGGCGTACCGGAGGACGACCTCACCATGGGCAAGGCGGTGTGTAACGGCGTCCTCTATTTCATGACGTGGGAAGCGCGAAACGGGGTATATGCTTTCCTCGTGGACCAGGGAATCTGGATCAACATTAACGCGCCGTGGCCCTATTTCTTTACGTGCCCCCATTTGGTGGAATGCGCGGGCGCGCTCTTCATGGTGGGCGGGTTTGGCAAGCAGCATGTTTCCACGGTGGGGATTAGGGTTTGGCAGCTTAGGGCGGAGGCGATGGAGTGGGAGCTCATCGATTCCATGCCCAGCCGCCTCTTCGACGAGTTTCTCACCAAGCCGGGAGGGATGTACTTCGATTGCGCGGGCAATGGCGGGTGCGTCTACTTCATCAATTACGAGAAGCCGCCAATGCTCATCGTGTTTGATGTGGTGCGATGCCTGTGGAGGAAGCTGGGATCGCCGGCGCCCAATGTGTTGCACAAGATGTTCCTTTGTTTCTCCTTCACACCCCAGCTCGGCTGCCCGATTTGATCGGTCCGGTCCAGTCTCATTTTTTTAAAATGGGTGTTTGGCGCCAAAGTTCTCGGGCGCCCGATATGGCCCATTTTAAGTTGTGGACCACAGTTCTGGCCATCAATCGAGCTTGCGACTTCCCTCTAAAAGTATTATGGCAATGGCGTCGATTTCTTGGGCTACATTATTTCACTCCTCTATTGTTTGTTTCGATTTTCATTGAGCTTTTGTGGTGTAGATTTCTGCCTTTCGCTTTGAAGATGGAACTCTCGTGAATCTATGCGACTTTAAGTACAAGCTTTGGTCATTTTTTTCTGCTGACAATACACCAGCTTATACGTAAACTTTGTTGTTTGTTTGAAAGCCTTTGATTCTTCGTTCCAGGCCTGTGTGTCGTATCAGGAATTTAAGAAAGCCGGTGCTGGAGTGATTGGATAGTCAAGAAACTCACACTCTTAGTTTCGACATGGTTTGAGTTTCTTGACACTAACGGTTGTATTGCAGGAGTTTCGCCAGAAACATCATCTCATATTTGCAAACTTTACAAAGAACTGAAGATCCTGGGCATTTATATGAGTAAATTCAATGTTAAACTCATAAAACTTTTTGGGTGTACTTTATGTCTGGATAACAAAATAAATTCTAGCACAACCGATTCAAATTTAAAAGATATTTTTGTTTTCTCCATGGAATCGAGCTCGAGAAAATGACCTTTTGTATTATCCGTGGCTATGGCGTCCTGTGTGAGTCGATTTCTCGGGCTACATTGCGGAGTGGGTTTCACTCCTCCAGCTCCACGGCAATTTCGTCCAGTTGCCAAGGTATGGATTATGATTGTTTGTATTTTTTATTGTCAATCTTTTGCGGTGTAGATCTCCGTGGGACAACGAATGCCTCCTTTCACTTTGAGGGACCAAGATGGAACTCTGGTGAATCTACTCGATTTTAAGTACAAGCCTCTGGTCATTTTCTTCTACCCGGCTGACAACACACCGGCTTGTACGAGAGAGGTAAAAAACTCTTTCCAAGCTTTGCTCTTTGTTTGAAAGCTGTTGGTTCTTCGTTTCCAGGCTTGCGCCTTTCGAGACTCGTATCGGGAATTTAAGAAAGCCGGTGCTGAAGTGCTTGGCATAAGCGCAGACGGTCAAGAAACTCACAAGGTTTGGGACTTTCTAAGCAAACTTTGTCTAGACTTCTTTGACACTCACGGTTGTATAGATCGCAGGAGTTTCGCCAAAAACATGATCTCCCATTCACGCTGCTCTGCGATTCCAGTGACAAACTTCGCAAGGAGCTGGAGATCCCGGGAGAGTTCTTCGGTGCATTGCCAGGGAGAGAAACTTACGTCCTCGACAGGAAAGGAATCGTTCGCATGGTTTTCAATGACCAGTACGCCGCGGAGCAGCACGTCGAAGAAGCTCTCAAAGCCATTCGCACAATGTAAGTATACAAACCTTCTCTTGTTTCTGTTAATAACTCCCTTACTGTGGTTTGGATCTCGCCATGGATTGACAGGACCAAGCGTGGCTTTGGCGGGTGATTGATTATATTATTGCTTTCTAGCATTAAAAACCATATTATTCTACTATGATATAAGAAGCTAGCTCTAGAATTGGTTATGGAAGAAAGAAACGAGTACAATATAAGGTCAGCTATGGCTTCTTTTTGTTCTTCTTGTTGCTTGCCACAGTGACGAGCTTCTCCTTGACACCACCCTTTTCCTTTTTGCTGACAATGGTCGCGCTAGTCGTGGAGTTTGTGTAGCCCTTTCGCTTGCAGAGCTCCAATCTCAAATCCTCCGAGTGAGCAATGCTGGCGAGGAAGGGGATGAGCGCAAGGAGCTCCTGGTCTGTGTCGTCCCCACGGTAGAATGGAGTGATTGGCAACGCGTTCTCCTGGTTATACTTGTAAGTGCTCGGGGTGTCGTCCACCACCACAACCCTGGCCATGTCCCTCCCTAAATCCTTGAGGATCTTGTGATTCACTCCTACCTTGGGGCTCACACATGAGTTTCCATACAGGATAAACGCAAACCTTCCTTTGTCGATGGCTGTCACCCATTGTTCCGCCAGCGCTTGAGGGCCTGCGGTGAAGAGGACGATCTCGTACAAAGCAGACATCTGGTCCAGGAATTCCTCCAGGCCTGGACGCTGCACTTCGCCATGCACCAAGGTGTGATCCAAATCCAGGACCAGCGTCGCCCGACCGTGATGCTCCAGACGTTGCTCCTGGAGAAGAGGCATCGTGTTTGATATCAACCCTAGCTATGGTACAATATATATATATATATATATATATATATTTAAAAGGATAAGGTATTTAGTGGTTTGCTTAAGCAAACCTGAGTGAATATATTTAAAATATGTTTAAATATTCTAGAATAGCTTACTATTTACTTTTGTATTTATAATTTATAAATTCTCCTAAGCACTTTCTAGTATATTCTAGTTTATTTTACTATCTAATGGTTGATATATAATAAGATTAATCTTGTGTTTATAAATTATAAATTGTGAGGGCCAAGTGTACGGCTACGATACCATATACTAATATTAGCGTAGTGGGATTTTGGTAGCTGTCAGATTGGTTTTAATCCGGACCACTCACTCCTTAATATAAATTAGAGTTTTTGGGCTAATTGATATGCACATTTTTGTATTCCCTTTCCATATTCCATGCACTCACATTGGTGGAGGTGAAGGGCACTTTTGATTATCCTTGAAGAATGCTTGGATTTGGGATTTTGGTTTAAATCTAACTTTTGCATTGTCTAGATCTAACTTTTTCCATTTCTTTTCTTTTGTTATTCCCTTTTAGGATTTTGATTTAGATCTAGCTTTTTGCATTGTTTAGATCTACTATTTCCTTCTAGTTTTTTGTCATTTCTTTTCTTTTGCTCTTTCTTTTTCGTTCATCTTCATGGCGGATCAGCAATCTCCTCCTTTGACTCTAGAGTAGCAGTTGGTCCAATTGCTTGATGCTATGCATTTGCAATTGAACAACCAAACTCAATTGATGGTGGCATACGTGGTCCAACTTCTCCTGCTCTTGGTGCCAATCCTCGCATTCGTCTGGAGTTCTTTCGTAGGAATCCTAGGGATAATGTGTACTATTGGTTCGATCACTTCACGGTGATTGCCACATATCATTCTTGGGATGATGCTCGATGTTTGCGTGAGTTTCCCACGTGTCTCCAAGGGACGGCATTGCAATGGTACAATGGGTTGAGCACGGCCACTCGTGGGGATTGGAGTGTTCTTCCAGACATCTTCAAACGTGCCTTCGAACATACCGACGATTGTGATGATGCCTTCCAACAATTGCATCATCTTTGCCAAGGGCCATCTGAGTCGGTGATGCAATTTAGCGTTCGTTTCCGAAGTCTTTTGCTTCGTGCGAAGCCCAATATGTCGGAGCGGATCAAGCTAGGAATGTTGTGGCCAGCACTTCGTCAAGATCTTGTTGGACTTGTGCATGCACTTGCTCCTGCCACCCTTGACGATGCTCTTCATTTGGCACAACGTTATGAGACGTCGCCTCTTCCACTTCTCGCTGCACGTCCTTCAACTCCACTTCCTACGAGTAATGGTCCTGTTCTAATAGAGGTTGATGCTGCTGCTACTCGAGTCCAAGGACAAGGGCGAGGACGTGGTCGTGGCCGTGATGTTCGTTGCTAGGTGTGTGATGAAGTTGGTCATACTTATCGGCGTTGTCGGTGCTTTCCGGATTGGCGACTTCCATTTACTGGGTGGAGACCTTGGTGTCAACAATGTCCCGTTGGTGCTGTTATAGTGGAAGGTTTGGACACCGCGGTGCATCCGGGAAATGAGGAGTCGCGCGAGTAACAAAGGGACCTTGCGCGAATAAGTTAGTGACTCCTCCATCTTTCTTTCGGGAGTATCATCAAGGGGTTCACTCGGCACCAGTTCATCCAATGTTTACTTTCCAAGCTCGTTTTTATAAGAGGTCTCCTATTATTCTCTCCGTGTTGGTTGATACAGGTTCGAGTTTATCTTCTTTTGCTCGACCTGTTGCCACACGTTGTCGTCTACACTTGCATCATGCGGCGGACCCAATTTTCATTCTTTATGGCAATGGCCATACACATGCATGTGCACGAGATGAGGCAGATCTGGTTGTGCATGTGGGCGATCTCGAGCTTGAGCTACAGTCATTGCAGGTGGTGTTGAGTCAAGCTTTTGACCTCATTTTTGGTATGGATTGGTTGCAGCGCAATCATGCCAAGTGTGACTTTGAAGCTTCTCCCCCTTGTCTCATACTTTCTTATGTTTCAACCATTCCTCTCACTTCTATACCTTTCGTCCCTTTACCTCTACCTCTGCTTCCATTACTTTTGTTCCCCCACTATTTCCTCTTGTGTTTCTATCTTGTTCTACTCTTCTCTGTTCCGATCCCTTTGACGATCTTTGTATTGCAGCTGTTGACTAGCTCATGAAGGAGTATTCTGATCTCTTTGAATTTGACCTATTGTCTGGGGCCAAGATTGCCACACGTCATCCCATTCCAACCAGGGATGCTCGTTCAATCAAGGTTCCGGTTTGTCGTCGGTCACCCAAGGAGATCAAGATTTTATGTGCAAACGTCAAGGAGATGTTAGAGAAGGGTGTTATTCAGAAGTCGCGGAGTCCTTAGGCATGTGAACTTCATCTTGTGACAAAGCCTGATGGGAGTATTCGTTTTTGCATTGACTATCGTCCGTTAAATGAAGTGACGATCCCGGATGTGTACCCTCTTCCTCACATTGCTGATCTCTTGGATCGTCTGGGGCGAAGTCGTTGGTTCACCAAGTTAGATTTTGCTTCTGGGTATTAGCAAGTATCGATGGCCAAAGAAGATATTCCTAAGACTGTTTTTCATACACTGTTTGGTTTGTACGAGTTTTTGGTGATGTCGTTTGGTTTGAACAATGCTCTAGTAACTTTCTAGCAGATGATGGATGAGGTTCTTTGTGATATGCTAGAAGTGACTACTAACTTCATTGATGATGTCTTGATTCACTCGGAAGGGACGTGGGAGGAACACATTCGTGATGTGTGTAAAGTCTTGGATCGGTTACGGGATGTTAGTTTAAAGCTGAAGCGGTTGAAGTGCATGTTTGGGTCCAAGGACACAACTTATCTTGGGTACCGTATTTTTCGTGAGGGTTTGCAAGTTAGTCCTGATAAACTTGTAGCCATTCTAAAGTTCCCTACTCCGAAGTGTGTGAATGATGTGCAGTGCTTCCTGGGCAAGGTGCAGTATCTCGGTCGTTTTGTGGATCATCTTTCTGATCGCACTGCACCGTTGTGAACATTGCTGAAGTCATCACCGTCATCTTTCATCTAATCTTCAGATTGTGAGTAGGCATTTGTGGATCTCAAAGTGTTGTTGATGACTCCTCCAGTTTTGGCATATCATGACTACACTCGACTTTTTATTTTGTGCGTAGATGCTTCTGATATTGGTCATGGAGGTGTGTTAATGCAAGAAAGCCTGAGTGTGCCTGGTCAGTGTCATCCCATTACATATATAAGCCGTATGTTACAACCAGCAGAGGTGAACTACTCCACGACAGAGAAGGAGTGTTTAGCAGTAGTTTGAGGTTTCGAGAAAATTCATGCATATCTACATGGTTATCGGACGTTACTTAAAGGTGACCATGCTGCCGTTACTTCATTATTGAAGTAGAAGAACCTGGTTGGTCATACTACTTGGTGGGCTTTGAAGCTTCAGATATATGATTTTGATGTTGTTCATTAGTTCTATGGCTAATGCTGATGCCCTTTCTCGAGCTCCTCTTCCTTCTCCACTCTCTTCTCATGTTTCTGATGAGCCTATTATTCCAGCATCTATGGATTTTCTAAATGAAGATTCTATGCCGTCGGCGGTTGTTGTACTTGACGTTTAGTGTCCACAAGGCGCAGAGCAAGATCTACCTTTTCTTGATGAGGTTTGCGAGGCTCAAAAGATTAAGCCGTGGATTCGAAGGCTTTGAGATGCGTTTGAGGATCCTGCATCACTTGTTGATGACTTGCCTTTCCGGCATTTACATTTTCAATATCGCCTTGAAGATGGCTTTCTTTATTTTGTGGGGACAGATCCTGATGATCATTTACAGCTAGTGGTGCCTTCTGTCTTTATTCCGCGGTTTCTCCATGCCTACCATGATTCTCTTGTTCTAGGTGGGCATATGGGACATTGTCGTGTGACCAAGAAGCTACGCAAGTCTTTTTATTAGCCGGAGATGCGATGTGATGTTATCCAGTATGTGCATAACTGCGTTTGGTGCCAAGCTTGTAATACTCCCCCTTGTGCTACGGAAGGACAGTTGAAATCAATTGTAATTTCCTATCCATTTGAGTTGGTGGTGTTTGATCTTATGGGACCTTTTCGATGGTCCACTGCTGGCAATAAGTATATTATTATTGCTTCTGACTACTTGACTCATTGGGGGGAAGTTGGTACTCTTGCTAGCACCTCTGCAATTGCTACTTCCTCCTCAATCGAGTGGTGTTCCAGCATTCTTGTCCGGAGCGGATTCTTTTGGATAATGGTTGAGGCATTTCATGTTTTGACGTCTCGGTTGGGGATATGCCACACTTTCACGAGTGCTTATCATCCATAGTCAGATGGTCTGGTGAAACGACTCGTTCGGACATTCAAAGGGATGATTGCGATGTGAACTTTTAGTATTCGGATTGGAATGGTTATTTGCCGTTTCTTCGGTATGCCTATGTTACAGGGGTGTAGAGTTCTGTTGGTTCTTCACTATATAAACTTTTATATGGTCATGATCCAATATTACCAATAGAGCTGAGTTTACCTTCGCGATTGCCACGAGCTCCCAATGCTAGGTCATGAAATCAATATTTGATGAGCATTCTTCCACTTGTCCGAGCAGAATCTGCCGAACACTTAGGCCGCATACAAGTGAGATAACAACGACGCTACAACTCCCATCATCATCCATCTGTAGAGTACAAAATGGATGATTTGGTGTTAGTTCGTTTTCCCCATCTTACGATACGTGGTTTATCTAAAGGGCTCCTTGCGCAGTGGAAAGGACCGTATCGGGTGTTGTAGCAAGTTGGACCGCAAGTTTATGAGGTTCGGCATGACATCCAGCAGGCCGATCCTCCGGAGATTGTGCATATGTAGCGGTTGAAACGCTTCATACAAAAGGATCAGGAGCAGTTAATACCATCTATAGACCTGCCTCTTGACATTCCTCTAGATCCTGGCCCGTCTACAAAAGAACCTTGATTATTCCGAGAGGAGGGAATGATTTGAGGGCCAAGTGTACAGTTACGATGTCGTATACTAATATTAGTGTAGTGGGATTTTGATAGCCGTCGGATTGGTTTCAATCCGGACCACTCGCTTTTGTATATAAACTAAGGTTTTTGGGCTAATTGATATACACATTTCTATATTCCCTTTATATGCACTCACAAAATGTGTTTAAAGTTATAAGTTTTTAAATTAATTAATTGCATTAATAAATAATAAGTACTCAACTCTAAAGTGTTTTGTAAACCTAAATGCTATGAAAAATGTAAATCTAATTTCTTAATCCTACTAAATATAAACCATGTTTTGAAAAAGAAAAGAGTCTTAACTTAACGTTTATTTAGCACTTAACCATAAGCTTTAAACTTGTCTTTCAGCTCTCAAGGAAAACTTTTCCACCTCTTGCCATTGTTTCCGAGGCTTCCATCGCAGCCTTAAACTCGGAGAGAGGGAATCTCTTGCCGGAAAAGGGCTGGATGACTTTGGATTCCAAGAGCTTCCATGCTTCGCTGATGAAAGCGTTTCTCTCCTGCTCGATCTCCCAGTGATTCACGAGGATCCAGCCGGTAACGTGAACTTGCCGGAGCAGATCGTGGATGCGGATGCTTGCTTCCATGGAGGACAGAACACCGTAAACGAAAACCGTGCCCCCTCGCCTCACGCTTGCTGCCACACTCTGGAAAATCGAAGCAAAAGACGAGTAAAGCCCGAGAAATTCTTCCATGAAAAGAAAAACCTTTGTTAGCTCTCCTCCAACGCAATCTAGAGCCCCGTGGACCAGTTTTTTGTCCGTGATCTCCTTCACTCTCGCAACAACGTCTGGAAAAGGAGATAAGTTAGCAAGAACAAGAATTCACTCCATCGCCGTCACCTTCGGTGGTGGAGCATATAACTTCGTCAGCTCCGAGTTGTCTCAGTTCCTCCTTTTGCTCCTCGCGTCTCACAACGTTGATGGTCTTGATCCCCAAGTGCTTCGCGAGCTGGATGATTTGCCTGTAGAAACACAAGCTAAGTTACGTTCCTAACAAAAAGAAGAATCAATACGAGACCTGCCTAACACTGATCCAGCTGCTGTTTGCAAGATGTATTCCCCTGGAGGAGTTGCAAGGTCCCTGAGCATCCCAATGGCGGTCCAGGGATTGATGACAAACTGTGCCGCTACTTCGTCGGGAATGGAATCGGGAACCAAAGAGAGCATCTCTTCTCGCACGGAGACGTAGTCTTGCCACGAGCCATCGCCGGTTTGCTTCAGTCCCTCCCACATGAAAGGAACTACGCGTTGTCCAACCTTCACTTTCGTGACACCATCTCCAACCTGTAAACTTGACGCAATCAGTCCAAATGCAAAAGAAAAACGTAAGCTGGGATTCACAACTAAGTTTGCTGGAAATTCAATGCTCGCAAGAAGTTCTAAAGCCCAGAAAGCCATGGAACTCGTAGCAAACGAGCAATCATCCAAGACTTTTCCAAGGAATTCTCTGATCACATACCAAATGCAAAAGAAAAACGAAAGCTGGGATTCACAACTAAGTTCGCCGGAAATTCGAGCACTAGGCTAGCATCGAATCTCCTTGCAAGAAGCTAGCAACAAAACTTTCAAGTTCTAAAGCCCAGACAGCCATCAAAACGAAAATAGAGAGCTCATAGCCAACGAGAAATCATCCAAAACCACGAGAGGCAAGAATTTTCCAAGGAATGGTCTGATCACATACCGCGTGAACGATCCCGTATCCTTCAGAGCCCGGAGTAGAGACCGGATGCCCGAATCGACCAGTGCGGATGGAGATGAGATCCGTGGGATTGATCGGCCTGAGAAGAATGCGCACAATCACACGACCTGGCGAGGGATCCGGCACCGGCTTGCTGGTGAGCTCCAGCTCCAACTCGCCTCCATCGCCGCGCTTAGCCAAAATCGCGCGATTAGTGATCGCTGCCATGGCGGAGCTACGCAACAGAAAACCTCGAAAGTTTAATGGCCAAAACAGAAAATATTCGCTACTTTTAACCTTTCAGGTAAGGAAAAACAAAATTACCCGCTGTAAAAATGTAAATATTTTGGCCCACGGCAAGACAAGTGTGGCCACCATCTTTGGAGAAAAAGAACATCTGTGGGAGTTTCCAGCTGGCAGCCAACCAGTGGTAGGTTGCCAGTGCCAAACTGGCTGGAGAGAGAGAGAGGGTCCTTGCTCTTTTTAAACCCTAAAAATATATCCCCTGGGCCTTGTTGTTTTGTTGCAGCCAAAATGGTGGGAGCCTCTTCCAATGCCGCTCTCAAGGACAACCTCTTGAGCCTCCAGGAGCTGGCTAAAAAAATGGACGATTTCGCCAAAGCCAGAGACTGGGACCAGTTCCACAGCCCAAGAAATCTGCTCCTGGCACTTGTATGACTCTGCAAAGCTTTCCATCCATTTTTCCTGTTGCTCCTGCTGCTATGATCCATATTTCTCCTGTTCCAGTCCCATTCTCTGTGTTTGTTTTGTTTTGTTTCCTGGAGTCTCTATCAAGGAGCCCCTGTTTGTTTCCCAGTAGCTCGTGTGAAATCCATCTGTCTCTAAAGAGTTGTATGTTCCCTATGCTTTTCTGCTTTGCACGCTCTGAGAGATCGCATGCTTTGCACTGTGAGAGAGACCAGCTGACTTACTTGCAGGAGGGGAAGCGCACAGGTTGGCGAAGTTGGCGAGCTCTCCGAAGTGTTCCAGTGGAAGGGAGAAGTTCAGAAAGGCCTTCCCGATTGGACTGCCGCCGAGAAGGAGCATCTCGGCGACGAGCTGTCCGATGTGCTGCTCTATCTCACGCGCCTGGCGGATGTCTGCGGGGTGGATTTGAGCCAGGCCGCTCTTCGCAAGCTCGCCAAGAATGACAAGAAGTATCCCGTGGACAAGTGCCGAGGCTCCTCCAACAAGTACACCGCCTAGGAAGGCCACACTGGGAGATAGAAATGAATCTCATATTTTCGCTCGATCGCGGTTTTGACGAGATCTGACGCCTGTAAGAAGAACGCCAAGGTCGTTTCTGGACATATAGATCAGTGCTGACATTGTTTACCTCTTGTTTTGTCTCACTGAAAATCGTCCCACTCGTCATTGCTTGACGGGCTCTCTGGTGCAGGGACTGGAGGTGGCGAAGCAGGCTTTGCGATGACGGCAGGAAGTGGCTTCATGGCAACGGGCATCTTGATTGGACCCGGCACAGGAGGCGAAGCGCGTGCATCCTGAGTCACAGACGTTCTAATAATCTCCTGCAAGATGGAGAAACATGTCTCATGATGGAGGAAAAGAATCACAGCAAACCCTTGCCTGTAGTTTTCCTCGGGCTTCAGGCGGCAGATCCAGTAGCACGGCTTTAAATTGGGTGGCGGATGCAGGCACGGATGCCAATTGTGTGACAAGCTTTACAGCCACGCTCGTGAATGATGTTGCCAGCTGACAAAAACCGTGTAAGAAACGCACACATGAGGAGGCTCAACTTCAAACTTACTGTTGTTGCTTGGACAATCGCCATTAACAAGACGTGTAAAACTTCTCGTTGAACATCATCACCCTCAACCAAGGATCGGAGTTGAACTAATAGTTTCAAACTCTCCACAACGGCGTTGGTTTGAGCGGATGACAACGTTCCCTGGAAAACAAGTTACGAAACGAATTCGTCCAAGCTGAAACCAACCTTTGGCAAAGCCTCGACTATGCATGCGACATCTGCCCCAAGCTCGCGCATGAGCAACAACGCCCAGCTACATTTGCTAGCCTTTGGTTGCTCTGTGATTCCTGCTTGTACAGTGGCGCTTAGAGTCTGAACAACAGCTAGTTGAACCTGACAAATGAGACGATCAGTACAATCCACGGAGAAAGCACTCACGAGAGACAACATACCAACGGATTGTTCGTCGCCAGAGCAGCACGAAGAGAATCGATGCAGCACTTTTGAGCAGATGATTTCAGACTCCGGGTAGCATCACTATCTGGCACTGTGCGTGCTACAGCCACCAATATGCCCAGCAAGATTTGTACGTGTTGTATGGTGTTCTGGTCCAAGCTCTTAGTATTCCACTGCTTTTCACACATTGATGCCAAGCTCTCAACGGAAGCTGATAGAACAGCGCATCTGTCCTCAACTGGGAAATGCTCCACAGACGACTCATCTGAGCATTACACACCAAATCAGAGCCCTACGCATGCCAAGAGAAATATTTTACCAGTTTTCGACGCAGCCGTTGTGAGGCATGTAACAAATGTTGTTACGGATGACAGAGCATTTCCTGAGAGTCCTCGCAAGCTCAGAAGCTTCAAGCCCGCACATAGCAGTTGTGGAATAAGGTCGCCTTGCATCTGACATACAATTATTAGAAGCTTGTGAAGCTTAGCAAGGTCGCAAACCTTGCTATTTAGACAAGCAACCAGATTTCCTAAGGTAGAAAGAGCGCAACAAACAACTGCATCGCTTTCAAATGTGTCCCATCTATTTTCTTCGCTGAAGAAAATAAAAAGCGCGAGTTTCAGGTGATAATCCAGGAACAAAGTCTCACCTGGCCAGCAGATCGCTACAATAACTCATGGAAATATCGACAATGGTAACAACTAAATCTTCGTTGTGAAGGTATGTTTCAGGCGTCGAATTCACAATCTACGAAAGCATTAGAAAATTAAAAATAATATAAAAGGTTTGAAAGGATAAACTCACTTGCTCTACGACACATACGATTGCCATCGGGGCCCAAGAATAGGCCTGAAAACTCGGATTGAGAAGCATCTGTTTAGAAACGTTAGATACAGAAAATGCCAACAAAAAAGCCAAGAGTAACGCGCTAGACTTACAGATAGAAGTTCCTGGCACAGGTCAATTGAAAGCATTGCGGGTGAGTAGAAACTGGGAGAGCAAAGGCATCGAAGAGCACGTAATGCTACAAGCTGTAAGTTTGCATTTCCCGCAGGACTGTTTCCCATTATCCTTCCGCTGAACGAAGGAAAACTTCGGGCATGATGACTACGATCAGAGACTTTCGACCCCTTGTTTAGCAAAATGAGGACTGATAAAGCCCATATGAGCAAGAAATCGCTGTTGTTGAGTTCAACAGGTTTCAGCGTTGACAACTCGGTAGGCACTGCGTTTGAAGCAGGTACGGCATCCACGGCAACAGCTTCCAGGATAAGTGAAGAAACTTCGTGCAGGTGAGGTTGAAGCTTTGCAGCAATAGCTGGTGACTCCATTCCTTCCAAAAACGGTTTATAATTTTGCTGCACCAAACACATAGTCTTTGTAAGAACCGAAATGTATGATTTCGTACCTGCATCTTTCCCGAAAATTGAGTGCAAACCATAGTGTAATCCTTGAGAAGGCCAATCCAGCAACGATTGAGTAAGTTAACATGGTTCCCCAGAAGGGAAATCAAGAGATTTCCGACTACAGCCTTTTCAGGCCCGCTTTTCAAACAGGCGAGAGCATACGTTTTCACGGCGGCATGAGCACCAAGTAAGCCAGCTTTTACCTGCAGATCAATATTTATGCGACGTATAGTCAGGTGCCTCAAATTATACGTACCTTACAACAAACCCACTCGGCGTAGGAAGTGTAATTGAGGCTATCCCAGTTCGACAAAGGACGAGATATTAAGTTCAAAACTCTTTGAAGAACTCCACGGTCATTGCCAGCAACTCCACTCGTCACAATCTGAAAAGAATAACAGTCATTAAACAAATCATCTTTGAAATTTTTGCATACCCTCGCGGCCAGTCTTGCACCTGAAGCCATAAGCAACGGACTGGCAGACGGTTCTAATGCCGTGCGGACAGCTGACAAGAATTGAGCCTGACAATAGAGAAAAAGAGTCAATATTAATCAATTCCTGTGCCTAGAGGAACCTGATATTGCTCCAATAAGAGGTGGCCCGCATACTCTGGGTCTGGATCTTCTGTTTTTCCGAACTGCGGCGATACGAAAAATATTGAGTTTCTACACAGGATAGATACAAACTTGCGGTACCTTTTCAAGTATTGTATCCAGTAGGCCGACACCGATAGTTCTGATGCTTTCCATTGCTCCAGTTGCAACCTGCATTTCGGTAATATGAGACTCAGGTAATGCACACCGATACAAGACCTGATACGCAAGTGCAACCAGCTCGCCTAAATGAAGAACTAGCAGGTCGGCACCCGGGTTTCTTGCCAGATGTTGTCGTGCTTGATTGATGTCAAAATGCAGAGGATCAGCCCCCACTGCAGTTGGAATGCGACTGAGACATCTGAAAAAAGAAAAAAAAAAAAAAAGAAGCCCGTAATGTTGTGTGCATATAAAAATGAATCAACATACTCTGCCGCAAAAACGCGCGTTGTATAACGAGGTAAAAGATCAACTTCTCTCCTTACTTCAGATTTCGCTGGCTCGGAATTTCGAGAACCAATCATGCTACCTTCATCATCTTCACCCACTGGCTCTTCAGCTCCACCAATTGCATTAGAGGACGAAACATTTGGTTTCGAGCTCGCAAGGACCTACATCAACAGTACACAGGTCAACTCGTATAGACTCACATAACAGAACTTACAAATTGATCTTACAACAGTGCGGCATATTTGAATCCAGCGAGAGGTGTACGACGGACAGGCTGAATCCAGAAGGCGTTGCAGCGTCAGACGGACGGTTTTAATAATCCTGAAAATAGACACTTTGAAAAACAGCAGAGTGAAACAGGCTTACTTTGAATCAGTTTCGGTATCTAGCATTGCAAATAAATCTTCCTCAATCCTTTCGTTATTCATGGCCACCTGAAAAATCACGTTAGGACTTCTTTCACAGGAATCCTTTAAAAGTACTGGATCGCGTTCACAGAGATGCCTTAACGTCGAAACTGCAGCATGCCTCAAAGATGGCTGCAATAGTAATAGATTAGATATAGACAATATTATTGATAGCAAACCTGCTTCGAGAACAACGTCGGAAGAAGGGTCTCAACGTGAGCATGGACGGGAAGAGCCTGTGGAGCGAAAACCACCAACTGTTGTATATATCTCACGCCCCTACGTTAAAACACAAAAATAAACAAGAGTCCAGAACATGTACACCCACTCACTCTAAAAGCGCTCCTGGTTCCTCACCAGAACTTACGACTGATACAACGGACTACATAAGATCCCTGGTCAGTAATCTGAGCTGCGGGCTTGAAATGTTACCTTGCACCGCGAGTAAAGTGAGCTTCCAAAGGATAATTCGGGCCCAAGAACAGCCACAATAGCATTCACCACACGACCAATGCTCTCTCGTATTTCTGGATGATTATGATCCTCAGATAGTATGATATCCATAACTAGAGTCAACGTCGCCTGCAAGACACAAATATCACTTTTATTCACACACACAAAAAATACCTGCACATGCGGAACAAACGATAGACCAGCAGATTCGATGGTAAGCCATAAGCCATGCAAAATCCAGACGTGGTGCCCCTCTTTAGCGTCCCGAGCCATTGAGCATATGGCTTGCACAGTTGCTGGAACAAGAGCTGAAAGTGCCATACCCCCTACACTGTAACATCAAAAGATTATTAGCATCAACAGCCTAGATAAAAGCCCGTATAACCTGCGATGAATACATCCAAGAACGAATGCAACTGAGCCTTTGTGCAAAGATTCGTTTGCTCCACCTACATCGCTCAAAAGAGATCGCATCTGCAAAAAAAAAAAAAAAGGATTGTTTGACATGGGCAACGGCATCGATACCAGACGTGCAGCGTAAACATCTGTTCCCATTTTTGCCAGTAAGCCAAGTCCTTCGGCAGCAGCACGGCGGTGGGTCGTGGCACTTGTTTCTTCCGAGAGAATGTCCTGCACGTGCTACAGTCAGTAAAATGGACTTGCTTATACAAATAATCTGACCTCAAACAACGTCTGAATACGTTTCAAAACCTCTCCTTCAGGATGTTCTTGAATCCGTTGTACTACAGATTTCT